CACCGCTATCTCATTGGTTCCGGTAACAAGCCAGCCGCCCCAAGCACCGCCTTTTCCCTTTCCTGTGACATCCTGGACCACCGCTATCTCATTGGTTCCGACAACAAGAGAACTGTTCCCCCCCCCTCCAAGCACCGCCCCTTCTCTTTCCTGTGACATCCTGGACCACCGCTATCTCATTGGTTCCGGCAACAAGAGAACTGTCCCCCCCCTCCAAGCACCGCCCCTTCTCTTTCCTGTGACATCCTGGACCACTGCTATCTCATAGGTTCCGGCAACAAGCGAGTTGTCCCAAGCACCGCCCTTTCCCTTTCCTCTGACATCCTGGACCACCCGCTATCTCATTGGTTCCGGCAACGAGAACGGCCCCAAGCACCGCCCTTTCTCTTTCCTCTGACATCCTGTAACATCGCTATCTCATTGGTTCCGGCAACAAGAGAACGGCCCCAAGCACCGCCCTTTCTCTTTCCTGTGACATCCTGTAACATCGCTATCTCATTGGTTCCGGCAACAAGAGAACGGCCCCAAGCACCGCCCTTTCTCTTTCCTGTGACATCCTGGACCACCGCTATCTCATTGGTTCCGGCAACAAGATAACTGCCCCCAAGCACCGCCCTTTCTCTTTCCTGTGACATCCTGGACCACCGCTATCTCATTGGTTCTGGCAACAAGAGAACTGTCCCCCAAGCACCGCCCCTTCTCTTTCCTGTGACATCCTGGAACACCTGCTATATCATTTCATTGTTTCTGGCGGGAAGCCATCCATCCCACGCACCGTCGTCACCCCCACCCCTTCTCGTGCCGTCCAGGACCATCCACTATCTCAATTCCAGTTTTTTTTTTTGTTTTTTTTTTCGAGACAGAGTTTCTCCGTAGCTTTTTGTTCCTGTCCTGGAACTAGCTCTTGTAGACCAGGCTAGCCTCGAACTCACAGAGATCCTCCTGCCTCTGCCTCCCGAGTGCTGGGATTAAAGGCGTGCGCCACCACCGCCCAGCTCAATTCCCGTTTTTAACTATTCTCTGAACTATCTGAGTTCCATCACCTTCTCAACTGTCCCAAGCATATCCCCACCCACCCAGTTCTGGCGTATTCCTAGAACCCATAGCCAACTCAGTTCCTGTTCTGAAACAGGCCTAGCTCTGTCCAATATACTTTTCAAGTCATGTGTCCAGGCCCCGATCCATCCATGTCCTACTATCACATCCTACAACAACCCAATGTCACTCATGCTGACAAATACCATCCTCACTTATGCCTAAACACCCCTACTTAAAACTCAAATAAAATCCAGTGCATTGGCTTCTTAGGAGGCAGGAAGATCACCTAAACCCAGAAATTTGAGAGCAACCTGTGCAACACAGAAACACTGTCTCACAAACCGAAAACAACCAGAAAACAAACAAAAAAAACTGTTATGCTTCCCACTCCATCACAAATGTCCTCTGCGCCACATATCCCTTATCTCACATCTCCCCCCCCCCAAAAAAAAAGGCTACAGTGGAAGTAAGCAGAAGGCCATAAAAAGAAAGGACACTAATGGCATGGGCGAGGTCTAGAAATGGCAGAAACCCTTAAGGTACCAGGGGGAGGGCCGTACCATACCTGCCAAAGAGGCCACCAGACCCAAACTCCAGATCCGCTGCAGGACAAAATGGGCTCCAAGACCCGGGCCGGAAGATCTTATATATACCACCCCAACCCCACCCCGTGGTGTTGCGCAGGACCCTTTTGCGCACTGGCATCACGTCTCCTCCCCCTCTCCCCAATAGGAGGAGACTGTTGCCTCACCCAATCCTGATGGCTCCACGTGGAGCAAGTAGGAGGGATAAAGAATTTGATCAGAGTGGCAGGAGATGTGGACCTAAGTTTGGCTTAGTAGAGACCACCTAGCATGTCACGTGTGATGCCAGGCCCAGCAACCATTGGTTTCTCTGTTTGATGTGTCTGTGCCTCATTGGCTACTAGCTGTGGCGTCATGGTCAACTCTTTTTTCCATAATCAAATAGTGAAAGGTGGGTGTAACCACCTAACCCTACAGGCTGAGCGCAAGATAGTGTCTGATTCCAGAATATAGGGCCTCACACAAAATGCATGTCCATCGGGGACTTACCCTGTTTATTTATTAGACCGTGATGTAGAGTTGGAAGGCCGATATTACAAAAGCTTCTCGCATTCCTTCAGCCCACGAAACTTTTCCAGGTTCACTAAGACATAAAGTATCAAAAGGTTTCATTCTCTGGGCTTTGGAGGCAAGTGCCAGTAATCCTAGCATTTACTAACTAGGAGGCAAAAACAGGAGGAACATGAGTTTCAGACTACACAGTGAAAACCTTTTAACCCTTCCTTCCTTCCTTCCTTCCTTCCTTCCTTCCTTCCTTCCTTCCTTCCTTCCTTCATCTCCCTTTCTTTCTTATTTCTCTCTTCCTTCTTGCCTCCCTTCCCTGTCTCTTTCATCCCTCCTTTCCCTCCCTTCCCTTCCTCCCTCCCCCCTCCCACCCTCTCTCCCTCCCTCCCTTCCTTCCTCCCTTTCTCCTTGCCTCCCTCCCTTTCTAGTTTCTATTCACTTCAGTCTCTATAGGTCCTGGTCACAAATTGCTCACCTAGTACTTTAAGTACTTTTCCAACCTTTCCTAAGGAAGGCTTTTTCCACAGTGGAAAGACTGAAATGTTTGGCCAGGAGCACCAAATTTCGACTCCAAAGACCATGGGTAGGATACAGAAAACATAACAAGGTGTTATATATGTATATGTTTGGCAGCAGACTAGATTTGTTTTGCTTTAATTGAGATTTAAAAAAAAAAGAATTGGCTCATTCATGCCTGTTGTTCCAGCATCTGGGAGATAGAAACAGGAGGATGGAGAGTTTCAAGTCAACCCAGGCTATATAATGTGTTCAAGGCCAGCCTAAGTGCTCAGCCCGGGGTTACACTGTGAAACCTTGTCTCAAAAACCCTGAAACAAAAATACATAAACAGAATAGGCATCTCTGGAATGTTTTAATAAAAGAGTCACTTCTAAATATATTCGCAGACATTTCGGTCTCCCTACATCTAGTTTGTTTATTTTTACAAGACTGAGACTAGAATTCACGGTAAATGCAAATGAAACTGAAGCTACATCCTCAGGTTTGTGA